TGACGGTATTGATCAGAAGATGACACTGCAGGTTTAGCAATCAGCTGTACTTTCTCGTGTAATGTGTGCGTTGCCAGTCTTAAATGTAACGCCTGCTTTAATGTCTCAGCTGGAACGAGATCATTGTGTTGCCCTCCAAGTACTGTTTGGCTTACCTCGTAAAGCACAATCCATCCCACTAATGACTGAAGCACACCAGTTGCCGCTAAGGCTGCAAGCTGACCAGAGAACGCTGCATCATATTGAGCGTTTGAACTGAGCCCCCCATGGCAAGACACTGTTTAACAGGCTGTTACAGAGCCCACTTTCTCTGATGTGTGAAATGGCGGCTTTGTTCAATTACATTACTGGCAATTCCGGCAAAACTATTGAGTTGCCAACATTGACAGAGCACAGGCCATGTGCTTTCCCTACTCATCTTTCAATTCCAAGAATACGCAAAACGTGTGACCAGCCTGTTTCGGAACTATAGCAATTAGCCCATTCACATTTATTTGAAAACTTTGAAAACTAGGCAAAAGTATTTACGGACGTTTCTGTATGCAGTAATGGCCTGAGCGCTTCTCCAGCTTTTTTCTGGCCTCCAACCCATATCAAGCGGTTGTTTAAAATACCGCACCCCTCATCATCAGTGACGGCCAAGATAGCAGCGATTGATCTCGCCTTAAGTACGTACAAGAAGGGTTACCAGCATCGAAGAATGTCATCCTCACCGACGCTCGTGGTGCCCTTAGCAGACTCACCAGCGAGGAGACCGACAGCCCTATTCTGAGCAGCATCATGGAATCCATTAACAATATTCTGTCACGTGAATATGCCTAGCTGCACAGCAGGTACCTTCGCACGTGAGTACTGCGGGCAATGAAAAAGCGGATCGCCTTGCTTCGTCATGCAATCATAATGACTATGACTGTCCGGGAATTCTATGTACGATGGACAACGCTCGTCTGCTCATATGCCGACACCTCCTAAAGCAGCACCCAGACCAGCGTGTGGCGAATAGATCGTTCCCTCCCCGTGTTCGTGGCCGTGGCTTGCCTCGTAGTTCCCGAGCGCTGTTATACAAACTAAGAGTGGGCTCTGTGCTGGTGCATGAACGATTACACCATCAAGGGCGTGTGGACCGCCCGTTTTGCGCAGCTTGTGGCTCCTGCGAAACACTTGAGCATCTCGTAGTGCACTGTCCCACATTTGCTATGCAGCGGTCTTGGCCGATTAAGGAATATAAATGCTGAGGACTTAAGTGCGAGACCCTAGACAACTACCTCTTTCCGAGTGACAGCGCTTCCTGACGTGACCAGGCCCACCGAGCTCTCCTCACATTCATGAACCAAACGGACCTGACCGCCCGTTTAGAGATGGTCTTTTTTTCTTTTTATTAGTATTTATTTATGTTTATTTTTACTCATACTCATCGAAGTTTTCGTCATTTTTTTTTTCTCATCTTCTTTCCTCTTTCTCCCCTCTATTTTTTTTTTTCCTCTGTTTCTTCCCTCCTCCTGAAAGAGTAAGCAGGCATTATGCCCCTCTTCGTGGCAGTTGCCAGCTTGCTCTCTCCCGTTTTTCTCTGTGTCATTGAGTACCTGTGTATGCAAATCAAATAATAATAATAATAATAATAATAATATAATTGTTTGAATTTTCTTTGTTGTTATGCTGTGCCCCTGCGCAGGGTGTTGATGTATAAAAGTATGGATCTTCTTTCACTAAAGCCAGCTGGTAGTTTGCACTTGTCCTTGTCGACTTCTTCCTGTGCCTTGTGTTTACTTGCGCCTTCAGGATCGTTTCTCTGACACGCTTCACTTTCGTGTTTCACCAATTCCTATGATGGAGGGATCAAACATGTTTTTTTTTTGTTGTATTTTATTGCTTGTATTTATTGTATTTTCATCCTCTGTTAAAGCATCGCGATGATGACTCTTTCAGACGGGGGCAATGCTACGCTCCATGTAGTTTTGTTATTGCCCCTTTATAGGTGCAAGAGCTGCCTTGCGCAAGCACGCCGACTGACTAAGAACCATTGAGATAATCGTAGAACCTTCCATTGCGATTACGCGCACGTGAAAATTACAGATTCCTCAGAAACATGTGACTGCTAGCGATAATGCTGGAATATTCGACGACACATGTATAAATGTCGACGCGCGTCACCTCTTGTCAGTTGATGGTCGACGGCGGATGCTCTCGATGGTAGTTGGGTAGTGTAAAGTCATCCATTCTAAAAGTGTGCAGTTTCATATCCTGGCTATGCTAATGCCTCTAAAGCCCTGAAACTTGTCAAGTTACATCTCAGATATATCATTAAAGGGGTCGTCAAACGTCTGCTGAAAATTTTCTACTACGGTTGTATTCAGAATACTAGCTGTCCATTCACTACTATACACCGACTCATTTCATCGTTTGGGTTCCTTTACTAGCTACAAAAGCCCAATTTCGATTCCCCGCTTCAGTTCTCCTTAACTGTACAGCTGACGTCAGTCAATGAAAAGCCACTGTGGTCAACAAAACATGGCCACGCAGATGTTTGTAGAGTCATAGTTGATGGAGGTTCGTAGCATCAAACCATTTCCATTGTGGCGTTGTAAAGTCGTCACAAACAACGAAAGTTGTTTCCACTTTGATCAGTTGCGCGGCACTGTCTGACGACGCACACAGTGGGCATAGCGAGAACTAAACGACCCAAAACGCACCGTAAAACACAACCAAATGAAAAGCACAACAGAATGAAAATCCCAATCTGTAAGAAAAAACTAGGAACGCTGCGCTGAGCGAGCGAAGGTGAGCGAAAGTAGCGATGGCACCACATGGTAGAGCCCAAATGTATTTGAAAGCAGAACCAAGCAGATCACTTATTGCTGTACTTCCACAGTGTACATACGTCAGAGGCAAAAAGTGTGGAATTTTTTTTTCTTTCCTAGGTTTCTATAAATCTGCCATTTCGGAGAAAGAAAACGCTAATGCTTGTTGATAAGTTCTCTCACCAAGACAATTACCAACGTTACTTTTTAGTGCCAATAGTGCCGCATACTCGCTTACGAGCCCGATAAAACTGATTTTAAACGAATGTCATTAATTATAGATTGGATAATGCACCAAAACATTTTGAAATCGGCATGTATAATTCCTTATTGAAACAGAGTTAATTACAACAGGGCAGCTTCGTTTTTGTTTCCCGACCCCTTCGACTCATTTTTACCAATAGATATGAACCACAAGCTTCCAAATCTAAAGCAGTATGGTGAGCTGATGCAGAAACCGTGTCATTGGCAGCCTTGCATTTTCCGGCTAGTCAGACACATTTTTTTGCAAAATACACGAAAAGAGAGTTATTTGACAGATGTAAAATATTTATTTGTAACCAACCAATTCTGTACAAAACTGTGACCTGATTCATAAAAGGGAACTACTGTCATTCATTAGGTGTGCCACCAAGGCACAAAGAAAATTTTTATACCTTTCACGGGCAAAAAAACTTCCATGCTGATGAAAAACATGAAAATTCCAGGACCGACAAAGTGCTTGGTTGACCACAAAGAAAAGTAGCGTGCATGTACGGCTCACACAGTAGGACTCAATATCATTCCAAAAGGGCTAAAGAAATGTGAGTATTGAACTATATAGACCCTTTTCTCATCGTGAAGTGATCTTTCAGTGAGAAGGCTCAGGTAAGACTGGGTTCGGCGCTAGATGGTGCTACCTTCCAGAAATATTTGCCAAGTTTCGTGTTACAAGCCCCTGAATCGGTAAGACTCTGTGATGATCCTAGGTTGTTGTCTGAATTCTCACATACAATGACTGTGGTTGCATTTCTTTTTAAATGAAAACTTGGAAAATGGGTACCTCCTTTCTGCTGTCTGATGAGGCCAAGCATTATTACCCTATACTGCACAGACACACACACGACGGCTCGTGTGGTCAGCATGCATGTATTGTGCACTACGACAATCAGATACACAGCTGAGGCGGTCGCCCGCACAGTGCTACAACCTCTAACTGAATTATATTCATCACTGGACCACCAAGATGGTATCTGCAGGGCTCGGTTTCCTGGAAGTCCAAGCCCGTTTCACAATATACATACTGGACCAGAATTTCAGCGTGTCAAGGAAGTACCGACCAAATGACTTTAATTCCATCCATAATATAATCGCCTTGGTAAAACCCCAGATATGTAAAGGAGGAAGAATATGCCCTAGTGAGCCACCACCTTAGCCTGAAGAGCCGACCGCGACCCGCCGACTGCGACTTGCACTGTGATTCTTATGCCTATTGTCGCAGCCCACTTTCAGCGTCTGTAAGCCTCAGGTGCGATACTTGCGCCAATAAATTCCATTTCCTTATTATAATTATTTTTATTTGAAGCAGACAAACGTGAAGGCGGTGCCACCATGTGCCAGTTTCAACAAATGCACATAAACTAATTTCACATCATAGAGTTTTGTTTCAAGTAATGTTAGTCCATCTACGCAGGTGTTTCCCCTCTACTGATTAGTTGACCTATATTGCTGCCGCGTGCAGTAGTATTTTCACCATCTACAGCGAAAATTCAATATATAACACTTTGTTCATGCTCATCACCATCGATGAGATGAAGAATCTTCTCATTTTTACCAACAGGAAAATTTTTTTCTGACTGGCAGACAATCCCTTTACACATTCAGCATGGCAGCTATGAAAACAACTTAGTCAAATAGGCTATGAAGTCGACCTTTGGCACAGCTATAAGAAGGCTTTTGGTGCCGCACTCCATTGCACCAAAAATGTCATCACTGGCTTAGGTTCAACAGATTTGATATTTCTAAAGGTAGCCTCTTCAGCAGACTTTACTATTGGGACACTTTTCGGGGATGAAATGCTTACGCATTTACAATGAAGCTCAACAGCTCTTGAAGTTTTCACTGATGATGCAAGGGATGCTTTTAACTATGGCTATACGTACACACCCCAAATAAGCAAGGGCTACTCAGTTATGCAGCTAGCAGTGATTTGCACAGACTCACCACTGCTCGATGCAGCGCAGGCAGTAGCTGTGTGTGCAGGGCAGTGTCACCTCTGGCTTGTGCTCCATGCAGATGCAGCACTCCTCCAGCTCAGTACCAAGGACGCTGAAAATCAGAGGGAAGAACGCTTGCTTGACAGGACTTCACGATTGTTAGCCCCAACCTCCAAAACAGCCACTTTATCTGTAAAAAGAAATCACCCAAGCCTGCTTCATTCTTTTTTTCCTTCCTTTGACAAATCAACATGAAACTTTACTTGAAAAAAGTTCAAAGGACCCCGAAAAGAACTTTGTTCAAACGGGAGCTCGCTCAACCAAAACAACTATGTTGGAATTTGTTACCAGGAGCCATAGAAGACATCAACTGTTGCAATTGTAGCGAATAGCAGAAAGAAGACACGCTCGGGCATTTGCTGCTGTGACCGAGATCATCATTCCTATCGAACCGAAGCCACTCTGACTGCCAAGTCTCTACTGCTTCTCCAATAAATCGTCATAAGACTTGTGGTGGAGGTGCAGTGTATCGATCCCCGTATCTTTTGCATCATTGAAGGTATCATTGCACAATAAAATATGAACCCTTTATTCGCAATATTCCATATTTAAATGAGAACTTCTGCTGAATTAGCACATTTTTAGTAATGCAGTAGCCGTTTGCTGTACTTGTGCACTTACGACTGTAGTGGTCCTGAATTGAGTCACTGTGTCCCAGCTGGCATAAACCTCTGGCATAACATTCTCTTGAGCCAGCAAAGGATTTCACTTTTTATGAGTCGTCATGCATCTTTAGCTGAAATTATTGGCACTTCCTATGCAATAGTTACTTCTCCTCTTGATGGTGCTTGGCCACAATCTTTTCTGCACACAGACTGGTACACTGTCATGAGTAGAGACCGGATTAGAAGCAAATGCCTATTTTGTTCCTTGCATTCCTATCATGCCACTTTGATATATGAGAATGAATTAGAGATTAAGAAGGGTTTTTATGGTGTTTTTATAGCACCTATATGTTATAGCACCTATAATATAGGTGCTATAACATATATATGTTATAGCACCTATAAATGCCTATTTTAGGTGTTTGTGCCTAAATGCCTATAAGTGCTTATAAATGCCTATTTTCTGATTGAGCACGTATATGAGCGCTATTCAAGCCCAAATTTCGTTTTCGAGCGTGGTGTGAAACAATTATTCATGTAAAAAAGGCAGCATTGATATTTTCAACCACTATACATTCAACAAAGACAAAGCTGACATGCTGCGAGCGATTGGAAGAGGAGCATGAGGAGTACAAAAGATGCTATTTCTGCAGCCCTAAGTGGAAGAATGTCTCAGCATCTGCAGGGGAAGGAAGACAGAGAATTAAATATGGGGTAAGAAAATAAAAATTGACGTCTATGGCCGAGAACGTGGCGACCACCTTCTACAAATAGCTGTCCCGTGCCCCGGAGGAACTGAAGAACCCCCCTGAAAACCTGGGTGTTACGGTGGGAAAGGAAGAGCAGGCTTTTCTGGACAGCCGCGGGTAGCTGGAGAACGAATGAAAAACCATGGAGGACCACTCATGGAATGCTCTTGTTGATTCGGTGGTGGCGAAGGTCACCAAATCATTATACTTCATCAGCAAAGCCCGATACAGGTGCCGGCATGTCTATAATAAACGAAGTATTTAGCTTACATTCACCGTATGCTTGAATATGCTTGTTCCATATAAGATCCCTTGTAATATGTCTTTAAGTGACACGCATGGAAAAATACAGAACAGCGCTTCAAGGTTTGTCCTAAGCCTTTACTCAAAAATGCCAGCTGTAACAATAAAAAAAAATTAACTAGGTTGGAAATTACTAGAATTGCGTCGAACTAAACCGCGGTTAAAGCTCCTATGTCAAAAATTTCATACTTAACTCACATTCAAAAATGAATGTACCTAAACAGCCCTTTTCACACAATGGTCATTAGGATTTTAGAATGTCGTAGCAGATAGAATTCTCCTAATAATTTGTTTTTTGTTAGTTTCATGACAAAATGAAATGGCTTATAAAGAGAACAAAGTGTGTTGTGTCAATGAAGGCGTGTTTTCATTGTAACCCATGTGCTGCAACGCCTGCAGGTAAAAATTGTGATGTGCACGCGACTTTTGTTTTGTTTGTGATTTACTTTCTAAGCGTCTCTCTCTAGGTGACATAATAAATTCTAGTTAGACACTAGAAGTTCTTGCGTGCCCAACGAAAATGGTTCTACCAAGGTGATTTTTCAAATTGGTTGGCTATGAGCCACCAAAGCATGATGGGAAGAAGCAAGCTTGAATCCCCTGCCTCTCGTCCCATGTAGCCATCTTGAGCCTTATTCCTTCCCTTTTTTTTTTTCTTCGGTATCAGGGCTGAAGAATCACATGAAGCATACGCACCAAGTACAACATGCGTAAGCAAGGTCACACTCGCATGACGTGCCCCAGCCTACTCGTGCGCGTACGCCACCGATGTGTCGTTTCGGCGTCCTCTGTTGTGTACGTATGTCCAGTTTGTGAGGGATGGATCAGTCAGTGCGTGTACTTTAGGAGAAGCTGGCAAGAATCATGCATTGTGACCATCATACACTATGTCGCTCTGCTCACATCGTGGTCAGAGACGACGCACCAAACACAAGCTAAGCCTTGTCAAGGTTGCCGAAGGCACGATCTAGGAACGACGACAAGACGAACGCAAGCAAAATGGGTAGTAGTGGTAGTAGTAGTAGTAATAGTAGTAGTAGTAGTAGTAGTAGTAGTAGTAGTAGTAGTAGTAGTAGTAGTAGTAGTAGTAGTAGTAGCATCAGTAGTATATGTGGTTTTACACGAAAAAAAAGCACGATGTGAATATGAGGGATGCCCTAGTAGAAATCTTCGCAAATTTTAACCATCTGGTGTTCTTTAACGTGCACTGACATTGCGCAGTACATGGGCATCTACTTTTTCGCATCCATCTAGATGTGACCACTGGGGCTACAATCGAACGCGCGGCATTCGGGTCAGCAGCGGAGCACTTATAGCGACTGGTCTAGTGAGGTGAAAGGGAAACTAGGGCCCATTAGTGAATAGCATCTCGAGGCTATACAAAGCAAAAATAAAAATAATAAGCTAAGATTGCATTTGTGTATTTTATTATTTTTCTCAACTTTCATTCATTATGCTGATTTTGAAAGGGCAGTGCAAAGACGCAGGGGAAAGAAACACAAAGAGTGCTGTCTTTTTCTTTTCCCTTTGTCTTTGCACTTCCCTTTCAAAATGATATGAAACAGCTAGCCCAAACCAAAGTACTCCATATTTATGCTACTCAACAGAAGAACCAAATTCTACATGCCGAGTAGAGTAATGTCTCATTTAACACTCTTAATGAGGTACCGTTTAAAATGTAGGATATAATCAGGAGAGGGGACAGTTTTGGTCTGTTTTTCTAGACATAGCTATCAATTGATTAGGTTCTGATGAAGAGCGTACGGTATGCGACGTCAGCCCACCAATGTCAACGTAAAAGAGTGCCATAAAAACAAGACCATTTGTACATCACTTCTTAGATCTAGGGGAGCACGCCCGCGAGAAGGGCAAGTGGCATTCATTCGAAATTAAACAATTTTCCGCGACGTGTAATTTTGAAAATCTTAACAGAAATGATCCGGAGTGCCCAGTGCACCATCACGCTTGTCAGCTCAAAATGCCCAAACCGAGTGGAGGTCCCTTTAAGGTGTTCACCGATAGGGGAAAAATTGGTCCTACGCGATTATATCTAGCATCGCTCTCTTCTGAGGTATCAGTGGTCTGGTTATTTGCTCCTGCGCTGCCCTTCCCAGCCACAATGAAATGAAAAAGACCCAGGAGCGCGTTAATTGAATGGTAGACAATTGGCGCACAATGCTAGACAACAAAATGAAAGACCACATACTGTGAATCGCACGGGAAATGCATGTCTTTATTGAATCGTTGGTACATTTTTGCTATCTTATTAAACAATATAATTTTTTTTAATGCTTCTTGCCATAAATACAAGTCACCAACATCGTTGTTTTGCGATATTTCAATTTTTGTAGAAATTTATTGTGCTTATAATTATGATTTTCAGGGCCTAAAACAGTGTTTTACCTGCCTGTCTTTGGCGCCTAAACACACTTTTTTGGTGCCTAAAAATCCGGCCTCTATCATGAGTATGTGAAATTGTCAGGAAAGAGGGAGAAGATGAGAAAAAGGAAATAGAATAGATGGATATCAATGAAAATATATAGAAAAAAACAATAAGATCGTACATTGTAGCAGAGTTGAAAAAACAAAGAGGTTGGAGCAAGCGCTCAACGTGGCCTGCAAAGAGAAGACAAGAAGGAGAGCGGATTAGTACCGCAGGAAGGGTCTATGTGTGGTGGTCGCAGCAAGGCATTCACTGCAAGTTCGTCAGCGGAGCTCGTGGTAAAGTGCCCCTATTTTTGCAGCAGCACACTGCGACCTGCAGGGCGCGACCAAGAGGGCGACCAGCTCGGCCCAGCAAGACCTTGCTCCTGGGGCGGCACAGATGTGTTGCGGCATTGCACCGCAGGCCGCCCACCTGAGCACAGGCATGACAGCCGCAGCGGGAATGTGATGCAACTGTTACAGGACACTACAGGAACCCGACAATGCATTAAACAATCATGCTCCAGTGAAGTTTTGTTCTTCACTGACACGATGAGCATTTGACTCAGCACCAGAGCTGCCACATCAAGGCCATCTGATGTGGCAGCGAACGTCCAGCTGAGGACGTTCGCGGTTGCATCACCAATAATAAAATAATAATAATAATAATAAAAGGCATGAGTAGCGCAGCAAGCTTCTGCTGAGGGCACTTTTAGCCTAGACAAACCAGACGGCCTTCAAGACGAGCTGAAATTGTGGCATAGACAAACGTGCATAAATTTACACATGCGAGTAAAGTTGTGGTTCGAAAGTCAGCTGTGCCGTGTGATATGTAGAAGCAACAGACATCAAAATAGTGGATGTGCCGACATGGAAGCTAAGGAATGCTTTAGCCAATGTGAAGGACAAGTTGCCGAGCAGAAATTTTCTTGGTTGTGTTTATCCCATAGGCTGCCACAATTGTGACAACA